TCCATGTAGTCTGTTGCTTCTTGGTTTTGCCAGAAGCTCAGTAGATGATTTAATGGAATCATGGATACTTAACACCCTAATAAGAAGGGCTGAATGTCAGATCTTTATCACTGAATCTCTCAATTTGAAATACTACTGAAATACAATATTTTACTAATGAAGCATTTCCAAAAAGGTTAAAATAGTTCTTTTGCTCAGACGACCAAGCTTTCACTTACTAGCAACATTTCACAAGTACTGTCTTCTAGCTTCACTATGCTGACGTTTTCAATACAAGAAAATAATTAAAAGCCATAAAAATGAGTAAAGCTCTTCCCATATCATAAAAAAGTTAATTTATGCAATAGCGGGGAGCTCTGAAACACAGAAAGCATGAATTTGCCTTGTCTAAAGAACATGTAGCATGATTTAGTCAAGACACCCCACGTTAATATAGTGATGCCAAACATGTATTTTCCCCAATTATTCTAGAATACCATCAAAGTTTTCTTCAGATGTTTTATTTATACAGTATTTCAAATATATATATTTTACTTTTTTACTTTCTGAATGAACAGATTTTGATGATGCAGCTGCAAAAAAAATCTTTAGGAAAATAGATAAGCTAAACATCAACTACTAGTTTCTTTTTCTTCAGTAAGTACATCAAGGTTAAAAGGTAAACATCCACAGACTACTGTGTTTGTTATCTCTACTCTACCTTTACCAGAAGCTGCCAATCCAGAAGAAGATATCTTCAGATTAGCCATGGTTTCTGTCAACTGACGTACCTAAAGATGGGATGAATATCAGCAAAAAGTAAACTACACATGATAAAAAATAAAAATCACTGCTTCTAGAGTTCTATGGGAAGTACTACTACAAAAGCCTTATCTCTTGTACAGAAGGAGCTAGGATGCATCTATAATAGGATATAGTAGGAGTGACTTTTCAGTGCCACACTGAATATTATCTATTGGACAGTAATTAACAGTAAACTGTAAAATGTCATAGTTGAGAGCCTTCTAACTGCACATAAATTTTGCTCTATCACTGACAGTCCCAATCCAGCAAGTAAAACTACATGGTCACCACTGCACACAGTCAATTCTCCAATCTTTATGAAAAAGCTGAACTAGATATTGGACCAGTGATCACATTATAATTTATGCCACCTTGTGATGATTTTTTTTGGTAAAAGAAAGTAAGGAAGTCTAAAGTGTTCCAAATTAACTTAAAGATCCTTCTTTTGAAGGATGCAATTATGGTAATTCTTTCTCAACTTTTTGGCCTGTGACTACAAAAAGAAGAACTGAAGCCTTAGAGTTCCAGAGTATTCCAGCAATCCTTCTTAAGAGAGCTGCATATACATGTAGGCTAATTCTATGTACTCTCAAATCCCAATTATCTATTAAAAGCAAGCATGCTTAGGATCGCAGTTTGAAAGAAAGCTATTTGTAATAAAGAAGTTTGGTGACTGGAAAGAAAGAATATTTACAAAAAGTTCTTACACAAATCAGGGGACTAACCTTTCTGAGCTCATCTCCTTTTTTTGTGCTATTATAAGCACATCCTTTTTACCAGAAGCTCACTAGTATTTTCTTGTTTGGTAACTTGGCTTGTTAAAAATATGATATGGCTTATTTAAGCATTAAAATAATTTTATTTTTTAGATTCTCAGTTTTATATCATCTTTTCATGAACACTCTTCATGATATTTGTGGAGAACGCTCATTTCTGTAGTGCTAAACATCCCATGTACTACTTCTAAATAGTGTATATATATAAGATAGCTGAGCATACTGAATTTCTCAGTGACTACAAACTAAATTGCAACAAAAAAACCTTCAGTCACCAGATACAGAAAGTTAATTGTATGACCCAGTTACAGTTCTTTCTAAATTAAGAAACAGATTAATTTTAGATTAAATGAATTAGGTAAATCAGAACTCACAGTTTTTGTAAAAACTGTATAGCTACCAGTATTGTGTATATAGAAATATTTTCTGTGATAACCTACACATGCAGTTGTTATTTTTTATTTCTAATAAAAAACATATATTTTATAAAAAACTTTTAACTGAGTATCTACCAATACCTTGCTTATATTTAATCCCTTAATCAAAAAAGAAAGCAAGTTTAACGAGTGTTTGTGTACTTGAAATTCTATATCCACTGCTCAGTATCTTCCTCAGCCTCATATGCACATTCCTAGAAACCTTCTAATCTTAATCACGAATAATAATGTTCAGGTGGGTTGTGACATATTCCCAGAAGTAGACAACGGTACTGTTTTATTTATTGCTGTTAGCAGCTCACAGACCAGGCAAAGAAAAAAAAAAAAAGTTGTTCTCCCACTTGTAATGGCTGTGGGGAAAAAAACAGAGCATTGAGAAAAAAAAAGCATACATTGGACAAAAAGCTTGATGATGTTCAGAGACACTTTTCCAGCTAGCCCCACAGTTTAGGATAGTAAGTAACCCACTGGGAAAAGCAATAATGGAATACTTAATCTTCAAAATAATTGTAGGAACTTTACAAATTTAATCAGTATTTGGAGATAACTTTTATTTGACTTTTTCATGAGTGTAAGAGGGAATGGAGAGTAAAGAAGGATGGGCAGAAGTGTGGAAGAAAGAATTTCAACAGAAAACACTGCAAGAGTCTACTTAAAAACAGATGTTTTTGTTTCTAGATGTAAATAGTGTAATAATTACTATGAACTAATTAGTGCCTTTAGCAATACCAGACAAAGCTAGACAACAACAATATTGCCAAGAAATAACATACACCTATGAACGAGACTGTGCAGCGAACAAACTTTTTTTTTCCCCTTTTTTTTTCCTTTAAAAAAAAAAAACAAAACAGAAAAATCCATGATCTTTTGTTCTAAGAAATCTTGATCTTTCATTAATGCATTTTTTTTAAAATCATTTCTTGTAAGAACCACGTACTAAGAATAGGGTGTTTTAACTCAACTACATAAAATATGATAATAAGGTATTTTTTGTTTTCTAAACCTAATATTGCATTTACATAAAAGTGGACTGACAAAAAGCGTTTTTATTTTTTTTCCAAAGTTAAAGCAGAGTAATTGTTTTAAGTTTCACTTTATATTCTCCATATTTAAGTTAAAAAAAAGGAAGGTCCTTGTGGACTGTGGCATCATCGTTGACTTACTGTTCACAAGTGTACAAATCTGCACGCTACAGAATGTATTTTTCTATTTTAAATGTTTTGCTGCTTAGCTTGTTGCTTAATCAAATTAACTCACAATGTACTGAGTGGATAAAAAGTGGATGTTTACCTCCTACCTTGTGGCTGTGCAAACTTAAAGAAAAGATTTGTTAACAAGACCATCTATATAACAGTATTTTTTTAAACATAGTATGAGCTAAAGACAGCTAGCTATTTGCAGTACAATCAGATGGTAGAAGCAGATGGGGATGGGATCCCACAAAGTTGCCTACATTATTTTCTAGGTTAGGCCTACGTACACCACAAAGCTTTTAATACATTTGTAAATTTAGGTCAGTATGTAAAAGTTCAACACATAACTAAGTGTAAGAGATGTACTAATTGCACATAAAGACTCATTTCCAAGTTGTTTTCCTGACACAGAATGAATAAAATTCTCTGTTAGCTATGTCTTTTGGGAGTGTCAGAATGCCAATTCACTAGTTGCACATAGCTAGCCCGCAACTTAGATGCTGGTAATGCTCCTAACTACAACTGCATTACCTTCCTAAGTCTAAAGGATCATTATACTCAGAGATGCTAAGTATCCACCCCAGGCTTTCGAGAAAGAAAGAATGTTCTGTGTGAAGTTATCGCTAGGAGTAAAAGTTTTCACATTACCCACAGTCGACTACCACTATCCATCTAACTTACCTTCACTGGTTCTTATTGTAAGCAGTTTCCATCTTTAAGATAATGTAACTCCCAATATAAAATTTTTAAACTCTGTACTGAGGTTGTGTAATGACGAGCTAAGAGTACTTGTACACTAACATAATTACTACAGATTTCAACAAATCAGCTTTGCTGAGGCCTCTACAATGAAATTATGCAATGGTTAAAGCAGCAGCTTTAGATGGACAAACTAAGGAGGCCTGGTCAACAAACCAATCTATACATTTAATAAGTCTTAAGTAATAAACGAATTTGTAGAATAGTATTATCTGAATTTGTTCAACATCAGTAATAGCGTTCATTAAGAAAAGGCTTCTTGTGTCTTAATAGGTGTGTGACAGTAGCATTTATAGTGCCTAGGAGTGACCAACAATTTTCAAGGTACCCACTATGTACTACACTGTATGTTTTCTTAGCAATCAGAAAACCAAATAAAGTTACATTTTTCATAACTTAAAATACGAGTTAATTACAGTCGTCACTTATTAAGATATACTTACACACTATGAACAACAAAAATGTATTGACAAAAAAAAAAAAAATCAATAAAGAGCATAATATTCCATGAATTAGAACTTTGGATATTTCATCAAACCCAAATGATGGTAGAGATGCATTAAAACATCAGTGGAATGAACTCTGGAATACATAGTCACAGAGGAAGAGTAGTGTGTCTCTACAATTTCAAAACCTTCCTTCATTTTTGGACTCATCACATGAATTAAAAAAAAAAAAAAAAAGCAACAAAAATCAGGACATCAAGGTATACTGAATTTAGTTGTAAAATGAGTCCACTCAGTAACCCAAATTCATCCCAGTGTGTTTGTTAGAGAGCTTCACTGATATTCAACTTTAAAGATCTACACAGTTGCACTGTAATAAAACAACACTGAGAAAGTGAGGGGATCCAAGTCTAAAGTTTGATCCTTTATTATTCAGTGGGAAAATTATTTTAACATTAGCTACATCTAATCTGCTGTATACAGTTTAAAGACACTTGAATCATTCAGAAAATAAGGATATGTCCCCCAAAAACCAAACACCACAACCTCTAAAAGTTGCATCATGAAAAAACAAAACAAATTTCTATCTATCAATTCTGAAGTTACCTTATACTCATTTGCAGTATTCCACTCCGTTTCTTTTCTCTTCTTTTTCCCTTTTTTATCCTTAGTGTGCTGAGAACCAGAAGCCTGATAAGACTGTAGATCCACTCGTGAATGAAACTGGTACCTGCCACTTTCCACATCGCAGTAATAGTAAATTCCAGTTGTTGGATCATAATACAGTTGATTTTCCTTTATGAGAAAAGTTAAGAACAACTTCGTCATTACTTTGACAAACACACTGCTCAACAGAACACACCCAGCTAAGAAAAGTAACACATACTGAATACTCAGATCTACTAAAGATCTGTAGTGGGTTGACCCTGGCTGGATGGCAGACCCAAACCCAGCTGCTTCTTCATTTGCCCACCTCTACAGGACAGGGGGATAAAATAAGATGAAAAACTTATGGGTTGAGGTGAAGATAGAGATCATGTACCAATTTATCATCGGGGCAAAACAGACTCGACTAACTCTCCCCATGCCTTCTTTCTCTAGGTCAACTTCACTCCCTCACTCCCAGCTCCTCTACTGAACATCCCCCTGCCCAAGTTGAGCAGGGAGAAAAGGAATGGTGGCTGTGGTGTTCATAACAATTTCTCTCTGCTGTTCCTTCCTCACACTTCTACCTTGCCCCAGTATGGTCCTCTCCCAGAACATGCGGTCCTTCAGGACACATCTACGCCAGTGTGTGTCCCCTACAGGCCACAGCTCCTGCCAGAACCAGCTCTGGCGTCGGCTCTCCATTGCCCACAGTTCCTGAAGAGAACATCCACCTGCTCCCATATGGGACTCTTCATGGAATCAGTGTGGGTATGTGCTCCGGCATGGTCTTCCATGCTTGCTCTGGTGCTTGGAGCACATCCTCCTCACCCTTTTTCTTTGACGTTGGTGTTTGAAGGGTTGTTTCTACACACTCTCCATCTCCTATGCCTTATTTTACTGTGCAGTTTTGCCCTTTCTTAAACATGATTTCAAAGAGGTAGATCAGCTATCTCTGATAGGTTCATCTGTTTTCTGTGGTGGGACCACTGTAGAGGTGTCTGTGTCCAGCACAGGGCAGTCCCTGAAATTTTGAGTGAGGCCACACCAACAGTCCCCCTGCCCTCTTACCAAAGCCTTGCCATGTAAACCCCACACAAAAACATTTCCTGTAATACAGAAAACAGTTGCTGAACAAGAAGATATTATTTACTCTCTTTTTCTGCAATTGTATCATAAACTGGACACTGTTAGCCCCAAACACAAATATTTAACTACTTCCCCAAGTGATATCATTGCTCTTGATACAGTTTGAGACTTTAAAAAAGTAATGAAGTACAGAACCACACCTGCAAACAGCTACTTTTGTTTACCACGGGCACATTTGTTTTTAAGTTGAGTTGAATGTATTCCCGCAAAAAAGACCTATTTTCAGCAGAGGAGTTCCACTCAGATTTGTGACAGTCTATACACCTATCTATTCATGCATGTACAAATATACACACCTCACAAGACAAAAAGAAAGCTGCAAACAGCTCTGTTAAGGAAAACGTATTGCAGAAATTAACCCTTACAGTATTTTGATTCAAGTCAGCTTAGATCTTTGTTCACTGTTCATACCAACTTTTACTAAGTTTTTGCAGCAGAGGAAAAATGCCAAGGATTCCAAAAACTACCCTTACCGAATTATAGTAGAATCCAGTGCTATGGTCATAATACAATCCTGTATTTTCATCATAAATAAATCCTGTTTGTGAAACAGCAGCTTCTGCAGCAGCTCTCAAGCTCTCAGCCAAGGAGCCCTCTGGTACTGATGCACCTTCTGTTTCCTAAGACGAGAAAGTAAGAAATCGGTTTTCCTCTAAAAAGAAACTCTTTAGCTCTTTGACATTTTGTAGTGCGCTATTTTAAATAAAACATATTAGTGCTCCATGGACTTGAACTGTTACCTGGATTATTAGACACAGAGACAAAAAAATCAAGCTGGCGTTTACTGATATATTCCCATGGATTTTCATGGGACCAACATTCCATCCCGTCCTTTTCATTTTCCCCCAGACTTTTCTCAGATATATTTCACATCAGAAATACACAGTGAATATCTTAGTACACTACTAAAATAGGCTCCTAAAATAGGTGCCTGCTCTCAGTTCCATTTTAATTTCTAGATGCTAAGCCACAAAAGCAGTTAAGTGAGTGAGAGGCTGGATAACAGGGGAAAAAAACACTGTAGAAAAAAAATAATTAAAAACCCTAACAAGTTTTTTCTCCTTATATGTATCCTATTTCTATTGATGGAGGAAAAAAAAATAGGATCCCATAAAAAAGTGAAATTCTTCATGGCCATATGAAACGTATTTTTTTGATTTAAAAAAATCACACTTTCAGTGCTTCCAACACATACCAGACATATGTTTTAGAATGTCCACACTTTCAAATGACAAATCTATGACTAATGTTATACAAAGAACTAATGTTACAAAAAGAACTAATTTCAAAGCATAACAATGTCTGCTACCATCCTTCTGAGACCACCACCAAAAAAAGCATTTCATAAAATGACATCAAGACCAGAAGTGTATCTTCTAAATAATATTATCAACAGATTACTGACTTGAAAATCAGCAAAAACCCGAACAGTTCTATAACCTGTGAATTCTGGACGAAATTTTCCTCTTCTCCACCTTCAGTAACTCCAGCGCTATCCACACTTTCAGGAACATTAATGTCCTCCTTTAACTCCTCTGTGGAGTTTTGCTCAGTGCCTTCTGTCATATGATTGTGCTGCACTGATAGCTCGGGTGCACAGTCCTGAGTATCAGTGTGATTATAATAATTTTCATAGTAGTAATAATCTGAAGAAAAAAAAAAAGTCAAAGTTATATAAATTAGCAAAGCAGTATTGTACATAAAACAGTTTAAGGATCCTTAGTCTTAAATAGCAAATTTATGCATATAAGTAGTTTAGCCAAAGCCCATTATTAGGTCATGCCTCCATGCTGAATTTATTCTACATTTATTGAAAAAGTCATGTCTTGTTTTGATGTACTTTAGAAATTGGAACAAGATACAGTTGTTTAATGTCTGAGATTACTATATATCAGAGTACTGTGGCACAAGTTCTGCTACAGTCTGTGATACTTTTTACTGTACAGTTCTAAAAGGCACGGCTTGAAGAAACTGTAAACGGTCTGAAAGGCAAATGTTAGCTTACCAAATTTAATGCTGCTCAGGATACAGACTTGAAATGTGTTTTATATAAAAACAAACAAGCAAAAAAACCCACACACCACACCAAGCAAGATACCAGTTAACATCACTGCTCTAGACGAGCGATTGCCACTCTCTCTACCTGCTTGTGACCACGCCGCGTAGTCCTCTGTCTGTATGCCTATGCTAGATGTATCCTTCTCCTTCCTGCTGTGGATTTCCTTAGTGAGCTCTTCCACCTGGAAGAGAAACGACGTGTTACGGACAGCAAAGTCACATTTTAGAGGTCTGCTATAGTTTTCTACAATTCTGACAAAATCGAACTGCTTTGCAGCTATTTTAGTGGGGAAGGGAAGGGAAGGGAAGGGAAGGGAAGGGAAGGGAAGGGAAGGGAAGGGAAGGGAAGGGAAGGGAAAGGAAGGGAAGCCCCGTTCCCCACCTGTCTCCTCAGCGCCCGGCCGCCCTCCCTCTCCTCGCGGTGCAGGCGCTCTGCTCTCCGCAGCCGGCGCTGCGCCCGCTCCAGCTGCCCGCGGCAGGCGCCCAGCTCCGCCTCCAGCGCCGCCACCCGCTCCCGCAGGCCCCTCTCCTCGCTGCCGGGCGGGGAGGCCATGCCCCAGCCCCAGTCCCCGTCCCCGTCCCCGTTTCCCCGCCGCCGCCTCAGCGCCCCCCCGCCGCCCGCCGCCCGCCGCGCGGCACCGAGCGGGCCCCGCCGGCCCCGGCCATGGCGCCCCGGCCGGGCGCGAGGGGCACCAACGGCGGCGTCGTGCGCGCGCCCGCGCCTGCGCCCGCGAACCCGGCCCGGCGGCGGCGGCGGCGGCGCTGCGCGAGAAGGGTCCCCGCAGAGCGCCAGAAGCGGCCCGGAAGGGGAGGAGGGGAGGCGGGAAGCGGCGTCGCCCCGCGGGGGCTCGCGCCTGCGCACGGCGCCGGCCGGCGGTTGCTAGGCGACGCGGCGGGGCCGCCTGGGCCTACACGAGGCCGAGGCGCTGCCGGGGTACTCTTTTCTAAAAGTACAATGTGTTTTATTTTATTTTATTTTATTTTGTTTTCATTTTATTTTATTTCATTTTTTGTACATTGTATGGATTTTATTTTATTTTATTTTATTTTATTTTATTTTATTTTATTTTATTTTATTTTATTTTATTTTATTTTATTTTATTTTTATTTTTTCAACCCATGATGTGAACAACCACTTCACATCCTGCCTGGAAGCTGCAGTGGCTGAGAGTATTGCAATTGTCACTCTATGCGCAACATTCAAAGCTACCGCATGAAGTCTCTGCAAACAATTGCAGTTTGGCATAAATTTTCTATAATTTTATATTGCCGGGATTTCTAGAGGCACTTGCAGAAGATTCTAGGATTTTTTTTTTCTCACACAGCCCCATCTCAGTGTACTGATTTTCAAACCTCTACCTCACAGGCTTCTGATCTTTGTCTCTGCAGAGCACAATGTTTCTTAGTCGTTAATGAACAGTAAACTTTGTAGCCTTTGTGACTTCCATGCAACAAACAAGTACATCATGATTGATAGATCATGGCCCCTAAATTTTAGACCTGACAATAATGACGGTATTATATATTTGGTGACCCTGCTAGCAGATGGGACCCTCGTCATGCACGCCTTTTAGAGGAAGTGTTCAGCTGACTACCTGAAGTAATTAATGTATGCGTTACATATATACGTAAGGTGCAATTTAATTTAAAATATATTTATTTTATTTCAATGCAGTTTAGTTCAGTTTAGTTAGATTAGTTTTTGTCCTTTCCCTGATTGCTGGTCCTTGCTCTGCTGAAAGATTCTCGAAAAGGATGAGAGCTTTGAAGTTTGCAGCGTGTAATGATGCAAGCCGTGAAGTTCTGGCATGCTTCTGTGTCCTGCTTTTTGGCTACTGAATACAATGGGATGGTTTGTTGCCTGTAAAACTTGTGTCTCAGCACTCAAAATAGTGATTATTCTTGGCACTGCAGTCTATCTAGCCATAGCTGAAATGTGTTTTGTTTGTTTGTCCTCATGCCATTGCTTACTAAAGCTTGATAGCTACAGGGAAAAACAATAGGTTTCAGATTAGACCTCACTCCGCACAAGTTTAATGTAGCTCTTATGGAAAGCAGATATTACACTTTCTGTCTGTGAGTTAGAAGCTGAAGTAGTGCTATCTTTATTCATTTGCTTCTTGCAGCCACTGAAGAAATGACTCATCTCCAGTAAACAAAAGCCCAAAGACATGCAAGCTTGACAATCATACTGTGCTGCAGTGTTATTTTAGCATGAACACTACTTTATACTGCAAAGGCAATTGGGTCAGACTCTCATGCACAACTCATTAAGTACTATTCTGATCAGAAAATGCCAGAATCAAATGCTTGAACTCTACAGGTTGCCCTACGCACGCAGACAAGATGCAAATCTGCATCTATTCATATCTCAACTGAAAGGAAATGGACAAAAAAAAAATATATAGTTTGTCTGCCTTAAAGCATTTTTAAGGGAAGATAAAGCTCCAGTGTAGACTGTAGGGCATAACAGATGTTAAAACCAAACCCGCAATTTCAGACCTCAGTTTTACTACTCCATAGTAGTTCCTGGCCAGAAATACATGTATTATGTGCTGAGAATTGTCTGTGTTAAAAACTGCTTAATGTCTGATAATTCTTCTGTTTGTATCCAAAAGGTTGTACTTAAAGTGTGTAAATAAAGAACAGACCTGAGTTGAAGGTAGTCACTTTATGAAAGAGCAGAGATTTCATGCACGTGCTTGTATTAAAGTGTTTTAAATGCAGAGAATTGCACTACCTTCTTATTAAAATGTTGGTCTAATCATGGGCCTTAGAACGGTGATCACAATTTCAAAAATAACGGTTCACAAAGTTTAAGCAGCAAAAAGAGAATGAAAAGTGATGCCAGCATTTAAAATGGCATGCGTTCCTTGGGGCTGAAAATTGAAGAAGTGGTGGAGATGTGCGTCCCTGCCAGCTGGGAGAAGCATGTTCAGGTGCATAACTCCATGACTGCTCTTCCTGCTTCCTCATTCCCCTTTCCCAATGGAGGATGTTGTCCTCATCCACAGTATTTCAAGGTTCCTTCTTCTCCTGAGAGACAGCAGCACAAGGAGGTGAAATATTGCATACCTATTCCCATGGCCTCCTGATAGTTTTTGTGTGACAAGGTTGCGACAAATGGGAGCTGAACTTTCCCCAGTCTGCTACCACCTGAGCACAGCTGTGCAGGGACAGCTCGAAGCCTCATGTTCACCTCTAAGACTGCAGGATGCATCTATCCAGCTGCCTGCAAGGTGGTGGGACACTCGGCCTGATACCTCTGTGTTGAAGCTGGGCCAGTCAGAGAGCATACATGAGGATGCTGCCACCTGACAGGCTTCAGCAGGATGGGACCATGCAGCTCCTGCATGGCCCTGCTAACCCCCCAGTCTCCCATGGCAAAGGACCTGCTTGGCCCTCCCTGGCTCTCTGCTGTTGTACTCCTCTTACAATCTACCTTTTCCAACATCCCCCTGCTCTTTTGCAGTGCGACTGCTTTTCTTGTCTTCCTGTCCTTCCACCTGTCCCGTTCAGTTGTGCAGATGCAGACAGCTTACCTGCAGTATCTGACACTTTGTACACAACATCAGAATATCCATCACTTCATGCCTAGCTGTGATGTCTGTCCCCTATGCTTCTTTGTGATGAGGAAAATTAAGCAATCTCTGAAGAGAAATGGATATTTACAATTTTGTTTGGTGTTTCAGTAGCCTACCCTCTTCCCATGGTGCTGCTTTGGAGGAGACAAATTACCTGGGGATGGAATTAAAACTCCTCTGCTGCAAGGTGGAGTTGAAAGTACAGGAGAGCGGTATGTCTACATTGTGCCAGGGGGCTCCATCCTTTTTCTCAAAGTCACTGGGCCAGTCTTGACCTGCTTTTGGGCTGGCTTTCCAGCAGGGGTTTCCAGCAAGATCTTTGTGGAGGCACAAGGAGTATTTCTGCAGAAATGCGGAACTAGAAGGCCATGTCTCCAAACAGGAGGCAGCTGGTCAGTGACTTCTCTTCTGATGGGCACTGAGAACATTGGGGCACAGGGTTTTTAGCAAGCAGGATCAGGAAGTACATGCAAAAGACTGCAAGGTACCAAGACATGCAAGGTACTTACTAAGAGGTCAGTAATGTTAGTTCTAATTCATTCTATATAAACTGTTTCAGCTCATGTGCTCATGTTGACAGCTTGTTTTGAAATAACAAGGTTTTATTTTTAAGTAGAATCAGTAAACTACATCTTGGTCATTTGTTTGGTACTGCTTTCTACAACCTTGCTGCAGCATTTTAGGATTAGGTTTAACATACTATGGAATATATTGCCTGGAAAATTTCTGCATAAGAGGTAACTTTTGCCCCTACATAGTGTAATGGGCTCCACATCCAGCATGCTGAAGCGTCTGGTTTCAGACAGAGACCTGTTGCACATAGGAGATAGAACTTTTTTCCTCCTACAAGGACAGGGTCCTGCTTCACAAATAGGGATCCTGCTCACTTGAAAGTAAGACGGTGCAGAGCTTAAGTCTTGTGACCATATGTCCTCTATTCACAGTGCTTCTAAGTTTAGTAAATTCCAGGATAGGAAAGTGAAGGAAATTCTAATTATCCAACAAGTTTAGCTATGACCTTGCACAGTGTTCCTTTTCCAGCCGCGTTTCTCTGTGAAACAGAAATGTGAAAATAGCTTTTACCACTAGATGGCATTTAAGGCTTGTTTTTTTAAATGCGCTGAAAACCAGCCCTGAAAACTGCCTATCTAAGCAGAATAATAGATTTCTAAACTAGTTTTCTTCTCCTCACACAGCCTAGGCTTGGGCACGCAAGCAAGTTAATGACACAGAGGCATAAAAGCATTGCTGTAAAGCTGAATTGAATGAGTTGTGGAAGCCAGCCTTGCACTCCTTGTAGTCTTACTCCTTGGCCATCTTCACCAAGGTTTTCTTAAAGAGCTGAGCAAAGCAGTGCATAACAAAAATAGCAAATCTTAGCTTTGTTGAATCAACTGTTGTTGGAGACAGACAACAACACCAGCTTGTTGCTGTCCCTTGAGATAATGTGATCTAAGGGCTGCTAGCACAGTGGTAGATCAAGGCTTGCCTGTTGTCTCTGTGGTAATCGGGACCCTAGAGAGAGTGAGTCACCCACCTGTGTCTGAGATAGTCAGCATCTTTGTACCCTTCTCCTTAAGAATTGCTGCCAGTGGGAAATATCTGTGCCTAGTACCATACAGTGAACAGACAGCTTAACATAGGCACCCAAGATGCTCAGTTTTGGATCCTCTTCTTAGAACTTGTTATTGGTGTGAGTTGAAGAGGAACAAATAAGGTTGCCTCTTTCCTGCTGTGCAAGTGACTGCTTTGCCTGCATTTTCTCATTACGCCCTGATCAGCTCATCCCCAAAGGCACACCTGTATACAGAGCTGTAGCAGCGTCATCATCTGCCAACATGCAGGGGCAGGTCACAGAAGCAACACCAACCTCAGCTCCTGGCTTAGGTGCTAACCCTTGTTACACATTTTGTAAAAGCTGTTCCACTTTGCTCCATCTACACTTCTCCACCAGGCCTGTTGATGCTCCTCCTGCTCCTCACCCTGGCCTCTGCAAACTCTGGGCCAACGAGCTGGGTAAGGACATAAGCACATGGTTTGCCTGCATACTGTGCACACCCCTGCCTGTAGCATGTCCCAGAAGTCAAGATGATTGCAGTTGTTATGTCAAGAGAAACAGTCACATGGGCCAAAAAGCTAAGAAGCCAAAAACCTGCCTGTGA